CCAGACGAGAATGGAGGAGAAGGGAATGCGGCATGGCCATCCCCCCTGGGGGGTGATTTCTTGCTTTCTGTCTCTCTGTCTCTCTCGGTCTGGCGAGCACACGCGCCCTATAGCAAAAATATCTCCAAAAAAAAAAAAAAAAGATTTATTTATTTTTGGGACCGGCAGGCGGTGCCTTTGTTAAGGACACTGGACTTCCACTTGGCCGACTGTGGTTCAAGTCTTGGACCTGGCAGCTTGCTTTCTCACTTTCTCTCTCTCTCTCTTGCTCTGTCCCTCTCTGGTCAAATTAAAATAAGGAAATAAACTTAAATAAAATAGTTCATCTTTTAAAAAAGAGATTTATTTTTTAATTTTATTTATTTCTCTTCTTCAATTTTGACCAGAGACAGACAGAGAGAAAGGGAGAGTGAGAAAGCAAGCTGCCAGGTCCAGGACTTGAACCGTGGTTAGCCATGTGGTAGTTGAGCACCTCAACCACTGCACCACCACCTGGCCCCTGTTTTGTTTTTCTTTAGAGGTTTTTGCTATAGGGCATGTGCACTTGCTGGAGAGACAGAGACAGAGAGACAGAAAGTGAGAAATCACCCCCCAGGGGGGATGGCCATGCCGCAATCCCTTCTCCTCCATTCTCCTCCCGGGATCTTGGGCATGCACGCACATGCGCCCAGCATGAGTTTCAAGCCATGGAGCCTGGGACTCGAACTGAGGTCTTCCATGTGGGAGTCCAGCACCTTAACCACTGCTGGTCCCTGCTTTTTACTTTTATCCACTCTGTGCCTGGGCAGCCTCTTCTCTTTGTTTGTTTTGCTTTAGAATGCCAGAGAGAGAGAGAGGGAAAGTGAGAAATCAGCCCCCAGGGTGGATGGCTGCTCCACCATCCCTTTTCCACCATTCTCCTCTGGGAATTTGCGCCACGCAGGCGCACTCGCCCTGTGTTTTTTTTCAAGCGGCCTGGGTTGGTACTTGAACCGTGCGATCAGCGATGTGGGATCCAGCTCCTTAACCACCACGCCACTAACTCGTTCAGGCTCCCATTCAGTTCCCTGTGGTCCTTTCCATCCTGGGGAAAACTTAGAGGGACCCGGAGCTGGGGAATCCCTGGCTAGGGCTCAGAGCCGGGGAGGTGGGTACCGCCTGGTCACCCCTCAATCTCCTGCCCAGGAAGAGTTACCGGAACCTTGGTCTCTACTGGCTGGGCTCCTTCGCCATGAGCATCCTGGTGTTCCTTCCGGGAAACATCCTTGGTAAGAACTGGGCTTTGGGGACGCCTGTTCTTCCGGGGCTGCACCTTGAAGCACCCCCTGTCCATCCTCTGTCCCCTCCCACTGTCTACAAAGACCCCGCCTCTCCCTAGGTCAGCCTGCAAAGAGCCTCTGCTAGCAAGCCACGCCTCTCTGTTCCTCATTGCCTCCTGCTGGGGGAGGAGCTTAAATTTCACTTTCTCTCCGAGCTGCTGGCCCCACACCCCAGGGCTCTGGTCCAGAATGTGTTATTGGGACCAGCAGTTAGCGTAGTGGCTATGTCGCTGGACTCCTATGTAGTCGACGGCGGTTCGCGTCCCAGACCCGGTGGCTTAAACTCATGCCAGGCGCGTGTGCGTGCGTGCCCAAGATCCTGAGAGGAGAATGGAGGAGAAGGGATTGCGGTGTGGCCATCCCTTCTGGGGGGGGTGATTTCTCGCTTTCTGTCTCTCTCTCTCTGTCTGTGTGGTGCGCGCACGCGCCCTATAGCAAAAACCTCTCTCTCTCAAAGAGAAAATCACACTGGGTGTGTGTATGTGCGTGCCTGAGACCCCAGAAGAAGGGAGGAGAATGGATTACAGCGTGGCCATCCTCCCCAGGGAGTGATTTCTCACTCTCCCTGTCACTGTTTCTGTCTCTCTATCTCTGGTGAGTGCACATGCCCCAAGAGACATGCTCTAGAAAGCAAGAAAGGAAGAAGGAATTATTTTCTTCAGTTTTATTTATTACTACTGTTATTATTATTTAATTTGCTAGAGGGCACATGCACTCACCAGAGAGGCAAAAAGAGAGGGAAAGTGAGCCCCCAGATCCGGGACTCGAGCCACAGTCAACCCTAGTGGAAGTCCAGTTCCTTAACCACCACGCCACCTAACTTCTCAGGCCTGGAATGCTGGAATGCTTTGTTTTGTTTTATAAATATAAGCCAGAGAGTAGTGCAGTGTTCTTGATAGAGAGAAACAGAGAGAGGGAGGGGGACAAAGCACCCCAGTGGGGTGAGCTCATGTTCCAATCCCTTCAATTTCATTTTTTTTTTTTTGAGAGGTTTTTGCTATAGGGCGCGTGCACTCGCCAGACAGACAGAGACAGAGAGACAGAAAGCGAGAAATCACCCCCCAGGGGGGATGGCCAC